TCTGCAACAAAAGAAAAGCAGAAACACGTTTCCAAATATCATAGTACCGACGGAAGACTATATAAGGACTGCTTCTAGGATTGGGAGACACGTCACTCCACAGCGAACAGCCTACCCACGAATCGTCCAGAGTTCATTGTTAAAGAGATTTGGTCAATGAGGTGTATTTTCCTGCCGTTGATGTGACTCGTCAATACTTTTTGCTTGTGGCAAGTGGTGCTGGTGAATAAAGGCTTCCAACATTTCTTTCTGCCCACATAGTGACAGTACGGCATGTAGTGTGTGCAGCGGTGCGGAGACAATCATTGGTTTCATATTTGTGTTCATTGTTCTTCGATTTTGCATCCATCATCAAGCTTTACTAAACGCTGTTCGCAACTCGGACTCACACTCCAACTGCATGCATTACACGCATGACACAATTGACCGTGAGTGCTCCTAATTACAATATTTCTAATTAGGGGATTAGGGGAGTAGGGGTTTAAATAATGTCTGACACTGTCAAGCAACAAAATCGCGTCCTTAGGACGCGGGGTTTCGAAACACCATTGTCCGGATGATGGTAGACATTGTGCGTTAAATAATTGATCCTTAAATATTAGCCTTAATTATTTACTAACTACAAAATGTCTAATTACAATATGTATGAGTTAATGGCTGACACTGTCAAGCAATTACGCGGAGAACTCCTACGTACAACGGTCTTCGCACACGACCCCTGAGTTGGTGTTCTTGTTTAATGCATTGGGTATTTTATTTGCAGACTTATTACTGCACCCTAGTGTACTGTAAACTGGGCATTGTGACATTGGGGCTTAAAGACATAGCCGATTCCACGATATATTGGCAAAGGATATATAAGTAAAGTTTGTTGAGTTATAGTGGGGGATTTCTGGACTACATAGCCCTGCGGGGGCTCTCAAAAGTATCGAGGTACATCGCGCACGCCTGCATGTGCAGGCAAGTTCTTTTGTGTGAAATGCAATGGCTGTCACGCGACAAGATTTACAAATGCTGTATGGATGGCCAGCCATACAGCAACTAATTTAATTTTTGCTAATTTTCTGGAGGTCGAATCTAGTATGGCTGGCCACCCATACAGCTTATATAAAATCTTGTCGTGCGACAAAAACGCAATGTATTACACGTGTGAGCTAAAATACATTATATAACACGTGGCGACCAAAATGCCATGAATTACACGTGTGGACCGATATCCAATCCCGTCTAATCCGTAAACACCCCCAGGGACACAGGGCCGCGGGAGGTCTTTGTAGTATAACGACGGACGCGCGTGCGGGGAGAATATTATCCGTGCGGCCGTGCACGGTGTACACATGGGCGGGTGTGCCCACGTGTAGGGAGCGCGCTCGTGCCGAGTGATCGTAATCTGGCGTACGTGTACAGTAGTGCACGTGTGGGCCAAGCGGTAGTTTCCTAGTATTACGCGTGTACGCTAGCACACGTGGCATCCGTGCGGTAGTCTGTAAGCAGCGCGTGTGTACAGTAGTACACACGTGTACCTGCAGCGTCCGCGCGGTAATTAGGAATTGAGGCGCTAGTTTTTTTAATTGCGTACAGTACCTGGTACGCACTAGGCGGCAGGTACTGTACACTAGGACAGGTGTCCGAGGCGTCCCTCTGAGGGGTTAAGACCTGACACCCGTCCCCACCAGTAAACTGGGGCAAGCTCGCCCCCGCCCCTTTTGCGCCTACGTACGTCCGTTTTCGGTTGTCCGCCGCGCGCGCTGGCTTCTAACCCGTTACCGGTCGCTCCCGTTCACGCACCACGGGGCGACTGCGCGTAACCGGCCAGTGAGCCACTCCCTTTTCGCGAGCTCGTCCGATCGGTTACCGCGCGCTGCATGTCTCGCGTCGCGAGCTCCCTCGGCTCATCCTCCGAGCCTCTCGCCCGCTAGGGTTTGAGGAGAGTTGTACCACAGTCTTCAAGACGAGAGTGGGCGGCTGGGCTACGTCCCCCACTCTACGACGGGGAGCGAGTGCCAGTGGGCAGCGCATGGTACTAAACGGAGCGAATGAGCGTGCGCGGTGTAGGTGCGCGACGAGGACCTCTTCGACATTCGACGCCGATCTTGAGTCGGGAAGGGCCTAGAGGTGTCAGGGGCCGCGTGCTCATGTCGCAACGAGGGAGGGAGTGGCGACGGTCTCATAAGGCCTGTACAAGGAGCACTGTTTTGAGGTAAACAATTAATCTGGACGGAGACAACTGCAGGAAGACATGAAGTACACGCCTGGCAGGTTGTTTCCCTGGAGATTTTTCACATTAGAAAAGTGTTTGTTTATTGACAAGGTGGGCCTGAGCGGGTACGGAATCACCTTACTCGGCCAGGACCGCTCGTAAAGTAGACAAGGACCCGTAAAGTAGAATACACCGAAGAGAGTGGCTGGTCGAAAGTATGCAGAAGGTAGTGGGTGGGTGGGGAAGAGAAAAGCATGCCGTTCGCTGTTAGGCGCGCGCGCCGCCGGCGTAATTAAGGAGAGGGCACGCCGTTCGCTGTCGGGCGCGCGCGCCCGACAGCCACGCCGGTGCAATTAGGGAGAGGGCACCGTACGCGAGCGGCCCGGTCGGTCCCTACAGCGGACCACCGCTGGCCTCGAATCGCTATGCGTGAGGAAATTTTTTCATCCATGAAAACCCTTTCCACACGACGAAAGACTAAATGTAGGTGCGTCAACGCAGGCGCCCATACGCAAACAAGGTGCGGGTGGCCGTCAAGGCCACTGGAAACCGGGACTGCAGTCAGAGATGTCACAAGCTGCGCACTCTGCTGTCCCCGAAGAACCATAGTGAGGCGGGACACAATCTGATCGTGCGGTCAAAGTACAACTTCGCCATCGGCTCGCTGTGAGGGCCCCATCCGAACCGTGCCATGCCAATCTCCAGCGGTATCCCGAGCAGAACCTGCACGGTATGTGCGCTGATCGGCAGAGAATGCGCGCCGTAGCGACACCCGGCGGGTGCTGTGTGGCGCACGAGATAAAGCACGCGTAGCAAAGCGTCATATAGCAGCCCTGCTCGCTAGGAAGGGGCGTCCCCTGGCATCGCGAAGAACCGCGAGTGCGTGCCACGGCGGTCCGCCAACGGTGCAGCAGGTCGAGGAGCCCGTCCCCACAGTCGGACGAGTGAAGAGAGATGGGCGACTCCCGCGACGCAGGTTTCCCCTTCACAAAGCTGAGGAGAACGTCGATACCTGACGCCGTGAGCCGAACGTCGGATGTAGCTATGCTAACGACGGAAGAGTCGAGGAGTCCCGACAGAGAGTATGCGACGACGACCATAGAGGCGTCTCGTAATGTACCCAGGTCGTCGGTGGAC